CCCCAAAACCCCAAAACCCCAAAACCCCAAAACCCCAAAACCCCAAATAATTAGTTCAAATTGGAATAATAAAAATGTACGGACAAAATCTTCCAGAACAGTACCACCGAGAATTAGAAATCACACGGTAAGTTGATTGTATCTAAAAGAGATTTAAGAAGTCCTACAGATAAAATTTGAGAACTTGAGGAGTTAGGAATTATGTTTCAATTCATTTCCAACAACTATTGGTAGAGATTTTTAATTGCTCACCTTTATGCATTTTGATATTCAAATTTCTTAACAAAATCTACAAATTCTTCTTCTTTTTATTAAACACTAAGAGTCCATTATAATCTCAAATAGTGACTACTATATGACTCATGAAGAAAAACCAGATGAAAAGATCGATTACGATAAAATGACTGAAAACCAGAAATTTGATCTATTTAAAAGCGAATTAAGAAGATTTGGAATCACTAATACCTGGAAATGGAAGGATACAGATAGAGTTATTAAGGACTCTGCCCATTACTCTGTCTTGCCCACTATTAAACAGAAAAAGCAGGCTTTCCATGAATATGTCAGAGACTTCATTGATAAAATGAATGAAAACAAGCGTGAAAATCGTAAGAAACAGATAGAAGAGTTCTATGAAATGCTCGACAGTATCCATGATATAAAAGCCACTTCAAAATTTTATGACATCCTTAAATATATCCAATCAGACCGTAGGTATATCCAGTTGGATGAGAAAGACAGAGAAGAGACTTTCCAAAAATACATGGATGAGCTTGAGGAAAAAGAGCTTAAGAGAAAGGCAGATCATGCTAAAGGAAAGGTAGAGTCTCTCAAAAAGCTATTCGCGTCTCATGAAATTCCCACAACTATGAAATTTGCTGAAGCTGAAGAGAAATTTAAAGAAAACGCACTCTTTTCAGCAGTCGATAAGTTGATCCAGATCCAAGCTTTCAGTGACTACATTACTGATAGAATAGAAGAGGAGGAAAGAATTTATGACATGAAGAAACTCAGAGAAAGTAGGAAGAACAGAGAAGCATTCAGAGAACTCATGGATGAGCTTGTAAAAGACAAAAAGATCAAGCATAATACTCAATGGAAAGACATAGCATTGTTGATAAAGGATGATAAAAGATACCACAATGTCCTTCTACAAAGTGGATCCAAGCCATCTGATATCTTTTATGACTATATCGATATTGAGAAGGAGAAGTTCAACGAGCATAAAACCAAGTTTAAAAATTTGCTGAAGACTAAATCTGTCCGCCTAGGAGCTGATATTTCTCAAGAAGATTTCCATAAGAACCTCTCTGAACATACAGAATATCTAGAATTTCCTGAAGACATTAGAAATCTGCTCTATGACTACTATATCAATAAGGTCAAGCCAAAGTCTCAAAGAAGTAAAGACTCGAGCAAGAAGAGAAGCAAGAAGCATAAAAGAAGACATAGAAGAAGTAGAAGTAGAGATAGAGACAGGAAAAGACAAGAAGTGGAGGATGGAGAATATGTTAGCTAAATTTGTTCCTAATTCGCATTTCAACCTTTTGTTATAATTTGGGGTTTTGGGGTTTTGGGGTTTTGGGGTTTTGGGGTTTTGGGG